TTTGTCTCTTCTCTCAAACCAACAAACCCCAAATCCACCCATTAGTAGGTGGAACTACGAACGCTCTGATTTCTCAACTTCCTATTGAGAATACGTAGGCATAAGATTGCGAGATCTTAGTGAGCATAGTAATAAATAAAACCCTTAGGTTCCTATACCTTTATCTCAAACCATTTCAATTTTATACCACAAAAAAAAAACATCTCTTATCACTCACTCAAAACAATCAACAAATCCCCAATACACAACCGATATTAATTAATAATAAGCACAAATATATGCAAGAGGTTCCTATAAAATACTATAGATGCTTAGGGTGTTAATACCTCCTCTTAGTATAACCAATCCCGATTCCCAAATCTCTTAGTGCTTTGCATTGCATGCACCCACAAGTTTATTTAAACCTTTTTCCTCTTCCTTCCCCTAGGATAAATTAAAAGTTCACATGTAAATAGAAAAGGGGCGACCTCGCTTCAAAAGAAGGGACTGAATCTCGTGTTGACAACATGCTAGGATATACCATTTATCAAACTAAGTATTGAAAACCATTCATAACAAAACTTTTGATATGTTTCCATTGAATTTTTCATCACGTGAACCTTGTTAAATTTTCCCTCTAGCAAAACAAAAATAGGGAAAGAAGAAGAATTTCTGAGTAACTCCTTGCTCTCAAAATTTCAATTTTATTCAAGTGAATCACTTTACAATAATAGGGGTTACTCCTTATTTATATAATTCTGATAGCTTGCCTACTAAGCAAAGTCCTAAATACCTAATTTTTCTAACACTAAAAAATTAGGCCCAAATCCAAAATCTATGTCATGGCTACTCCCAGACACTTCGATAACAAAATAATTCCGACACACATACTAGACTATTCGACAAATTTCTTGTCCCTGTCGAGCAGCCTGCACCGACATAAGGAATTACAATTCAACACTATTTAGCCACAAAGATCTTGAACCAAGATCAAATGACATTGCATAAATGAAATAATCAAAGCTTGCCCACTAAGAAAATCTCAGTTTGAACTAATATCTGACCTTCCGATAACCACACCAAATCCCATTTTGGATACCTCCATACGAATCCATTGAAGCATGTGATCACGAGATTCAAACTCTTGCTCATTTTTAAATTGCTTGCCAACATCTACCACTTCCACAATAACACCTTTAACAGTGGGAGACACAACTTGTTTGGGGAAAACATCGAGGTGCACCATATCTAATAAAAATAATTAGCACAAAATAGTAAATAATCGTTAATGTTGAAAATAGAACTGAAAAAATAAACGCAGATAGATATCAGAGATGCATCTCTGGGTAAGTTCATACTCGTTCCAAAAATGCATCTCTATAAATAACGCTTGTTTTTCCGAACAAAAACAGACTTAATGTCATCAATGAGGCTTGAAATAAATGATCTTTACCCAGAATTTCAACTTCTTTTGCTCCATTTGATGTGATGAAACACAAGATTGAGGATTCAGAGTGAAAATATGGATTAAGAATGGAAGGGATTTACGTGAGGGTTTTGAGTGAAAAACAAATTTGGGGGTATGGTCATGCAGATGTGTGTTTTATCAGGTTATTTCGGAGATGCATTTTCAGAATCACTCAATCTTGAACCTAAGTCTCCAAAGATGAAGTGCACAACTGATCATAGAGTATATGTAAGAAGATGCAATAATTAATTGCTTATACTATGTCTCTTTGTCAATGACATATTGATAAAGAAGTCCAAAAAGTCCAAAAAATCCATCAAATAGCTAAGCTACCTCGCAATAAAAGCAAAACACAAATGCCAAAACATTTTTATTTTTTTCTAGATGATATACATCGCTTTCAAATGCTCATAGCAATCATTACCAAAAATATAATTTTTATTATAAAAAATTAAGAATCTTAATTGCATATGAATCGTTGTTTATGGCCAAATTGCTAGTTGCCACACTGTATTTTAGCTGCATCTTATCCATGAAATCCAATCCAAAATCTACAACATTTAAGACCTATTTGAATGAATATGCAACAACGAAATATGACTCAGCGGGGCTTCTGGCGACCATGGTAACATATTTCCTTCATATATACCTTTGAAGTCTTCTTAATCAACTCTAACACCAACCTTCTCTATTTTCATCATAGCCTCCATCAATATTCCTTGGATTTACCTCAAATCACAACTCTTACCACTAACTTTCGACATCCATAAATCATTGCCTTAGCAAAAATTGTTTGCACAAGCGCTAAAATCTTTTGTGACATCTAGTTAAGTCATCTACCATAACCTTGTGTAAAGGGTGAATGTATTACCATTACAATTACAGAAGATGGGCACCTTACAAGTTTGAAAGCATGCATCATAACATGTACAAAAGAGTCATATGGACAAATGTAGGGCCATCTTTAAAGGCATGCAAGGTAGGCTACTTCACATTGTAATTCCTTATGTCGAAGAAGGTCGCTCAACAGGAACAAGGAAGTTGTCTAATAGCCTAATATGTGTGTCGAAATTGTTTTTGTTATTGAAGGTTTCAGAGGAGTAGCCTTGACATGGATTTTGGATTGGACCTAATTTTGTAGTGTTAACAAAATTAGGTACTTTGGGCTTTGCTTAGTGGAAAAACTATCAAGATTCTATAAATAGGGAGTAACCCATATTATTGTAAAGTGATTCACTTGAATAAAATTGCAGTTTTGAGAGCAGAGAGTTACTTTGCAGAAACTCTTCTTCTTCCCTTGTTTTGTATTGAATCCCTAATTTCCCTTCTTTCTAATTCAATTTGATTTTTCTTCTTCTCCATTCTCATTGTGCTCTAGAATCATCTTGCAATCAAGGTCTGATTGATTTCGCTCGAGTGAAGAGTGAAGAACAAGAAGAGAATTCAATTGGTTGATTAAATCTTGTTCATCAAGATTGATTCAGAATTACTCAAAGTCTTGGGTTTAATTCCAACAAATAGGACCTCATAAAATATTTTCATGGTTAAATCACGTTTAAATAAGGCACCTATTTGTTTTGTCACGGTTAAACTGCAGCTAGCCTACACAGAGCCTTCAAAACTTGTGACGACTCAGAGTGCGGTAATCTCGTTGAAAGTGGAAGCTTTGAGAGCTAAGTTGCTAACACTGTGGAAATCATCGGAAGGAATCACTTCTCTAAGCAAAGATTTTTACAAATTCTCCTCCTCCCTAGAAAACGTGCAAAGTGTTTGATCATCTAGCTCAAGGAATATCAACCTTGATTTCCTTAACATATTTCTTAAATTTAAGATCAATCCTAGTCTGCTTAGACAATCCTTTGCCTAAGTTTTGATTCACATTTGTGACTTTTTACACGAATACTCATGTTCCAAAACTCTCTTTACCATAAATAATTGTGTTGGTACCCATATTTGTACGAATGTCACAACCAATAAACCTCGGTTTACTTGTTCTTTTGGTTACTTTGTACGAGTGTTGGTAGATGTAGATCTCTAAAACTTAGTTATAAATTACTTGTAGAAAAACACGACTTTCCTTTTTCGTTGAACTAAACTATATAAAAATATGCATGAAATTTTACAATCATTGAATGTGTATTTCACATATTATAAACACTAATAGAAAATTCAAGATTTTTCCTTTTACATGAAGATAAATAAGAACTAATAAAAAGAGGCGAAATCTTAAGTATCCATAATAAATTATTCAATATCGATATCTTTAATAAAAATTGATTTAAAATATTAATTTATTTTTAAATAAATAAAAAATAAAAAGTAACATGACATTAACTGTCATTGTTTCATTGGGTGAAGATATCGATATTAAAATATTTTCCAAAGAGTTTTTGAAGTAGTCTAAAAAGAAAACCTATTCAAGGTCCTAAAAGAATCTTTGTGCAACTACTCAAGTTATAGTGATCAAAACTCCAATAATTCTGATTTTATAGATGCTACCCAATAGGAAGTGGAAAGTGGGGAAGTTGTTATCCATCAGCTGATTGATGACGCCATTGCTATTGCCTCTCACACTCTTATTCTTGAGCTAGTCTAGAAGAATAATGAGTTCTTGAAAAAGTCTTTGGATAACATGGCTGAAACTAAAAAACATTGAGGATAACTCAACTGAAGCATCACTTGTGGCAAATAGTCAACCTTTTCAGTCGGTGATCCCCAAGTCTTTCTTATGAAGTGTGTAGTTTGAAATGCAAGGGGTCTAGGTATTTTCCAAATTTGCAATTAAAAATCTTATTCAGAAATATAACCTTAGATAGACTTAATATATATATGTTTGGTTTAATGGTGGCCAAAATTGATTCAGAGTGATTTGATTATGTTGGAATTAATTTAAATTAAAATGAGTTGAATATAATGTAATTTATACTTAAATATTTATATGTAAAATTTTCAATCAATTCTTCATGTTTGTATAGCTTGTGCAAACTAAAAGTTTGTTTTTACTATTTAAATTGTCTGGAATCAAAACAAGTATAAACCATATGTTTCAAACAAAAATTTAAAAAATTTACATTTGGATTATAGAATTTTTATGTTTGAATTTTAGAATTTCAACATATAAAATTTATCAAAAAATTTTGATAAAATTTGATAGTTTTACTTATTGATTTTAATTAAAGAACAAAACAATCAATTCAAATAAGACAAAGGGGGTGTGGGGTGCAGTTAATGGGTGCTAGATGAAATTTCAAAAAGTGGGGATGCCAATAATAGCCCACATATTTTTAAATTTACGGCCCAAGAAGCCCAATCTATATATAACCAAAGCATTGAATTCACTAAAGAAAATGCAATGCAATATTGCAATGGATATTCATAATCTAAAACATTAATTTTCATAATACCAAAAACCATTTTCATTGCTAGGAAACTATTTCTACCATATTGAACAACAAAAATAAACTAAAAAAAGAAAAAAAAAACAAAGAAAATGAGCACTATATATATTACAACGTATTAGAAATTGAAACTTGAAATATACTAAAAATCCATTCTATGGAACAGGATAGGACTTGTTATGGCACATGCATTTGTAAGCCATTGGACAGGATTCAGCCTCTGCAAGTGATGCACAAACTAAGCTCACCATCACCAATTTGCACGGCGAACACGATCCGCATGCATGCGAACAATCGGGTAACCGTGATCCGGCTACTTGCATCGGCCGTCGCATATTTGCCACTTCATGATATGAATGTCCATCTCCATGTCCTATTAATTAACATAAAAATTAACACAAACGTTTGACACATAAAATAAAATGAAATAAAAAGAATTGGAGACTTACGTGAATTTGAGTGGCTTATGTGCCTTGAAGAAGTGATGATTGGAACATAAAGTAAAATAAGAAAAAATGCAATAGCGTAGACGAAACATCTCTTCATTATGAATAATTTTTCTTGCAGTTTCAAAGTGGTGAATATTGTGAAGAAACCAAAAATATATATAGGTTGGAAAGAATGCATGGAATTGAATCAGTTCACAGGCAAAAGGAGAGTGTGATAAGGGGTTGTCACATGAAAGAGGGTGCGAATGAGGATTACAGACACTTAGATCACAAGATTGGTTAAGCTTTTGTTGTTTGAGGGAAAGAAGAAAAAACAGTAAGAATTTAAAACAAGAGAGTTAAAAGTGTTTCTTTTACGTGCTTGCTTGGTCAAGCACAAGTATATGTTAGGTAGCATAAATGCAGCAACAATTTTGCACTTACATTTTGTGTGCTATTGCAATTTTTACTATTTAATGTGCTATTGAGTTCACATAATAAATTGAGCAACCGAGAGTTTGAAATGTGACTGCCATCAATACCTTCTCATCCCATATATTTATAGGCCTAGGTAACATTTTTGTATAGAGGCTTTTGATTCCTACATGTACTTTTCTAACACTTAATCCCCCCAAAAAAAATTTAAATATATCAAAATGTTGGAGAGTCATATGAGAGACATGAGACTAGACAAGTAAACATCCAAGACCTAATATATTTTTTTAGGTGGTACAAGAACTTTGATTCATACAAGCTTCAAATTGACTATAATAAATATGAGTATGTTTGTTGTTGTTTTTGGTGTTATTGTATATGAATGATATGTTCATCATGGATAACTATTTATATAATGTAAATGTAAATGAACTGAAAAATATTTTTGAGAAATGAGTTTGACATGAAAGATTTAAGTGATACTAAGATTTTTGAAATAGAAAATCATATGGATATGGGTACGAGTGCTACAAAGTTACGTCTTTATCATAAAAGCTATGTCGGAAAGGTGTTAGAAAAACTTGACATGCGTAGTTTGAAGTTTGTGAGTGTTCCATTGGAAAATCACTTTTAAATCTCATTGGATCAATGTTTAAATACAAATTCAAAAACTGAGTACATATCAAGGGTTTCTTATACCACCAATGTTGTTGGTTGTTCAATGTATGCTATGGTTTGAACTAGAATAAAGTTGTAAGTCAAGTTTTAAAGATTATGTCTAATGTAGGTAAATGATATTGGGAAAATTCAAATGTTTTTTTAGGTACTTGAAAGGTACAATGGGTCGTGGTATCATGTTTAACAGTGGACATGGTGATCTTTCATGTTGTGGCGCGAAAGATATCCGAGCGCATCGCAAGCTCGAAGATACAACAGAGTTGCCACTAAATTTTATTTATTCCATAGAAAAGGGGAAATATCAATAAAACCCTTAATAAAAAGAGACAAGTAAGGGAGTCACTTATGCGAGGGGAAGTTATTAGCATCCCTCACACCTGTTGTACTCAACAAGAATCATTTTGTTTGTTCTTTGCGCGAATGACTGTTATTATCTAAATGTTATTTCACTACTACAAAAAACGCTTGTTACCTCGGACGCAAAATACATACTACCTCGACTATAGAAGCGGGATAATTGAGGGCGACATGATAACTCACAACTTATCACCTCAACGTTATTAAAATCGAGAGGTAAAGTTAAATGCACATTGGTTCAAATCCCAACAACAACACTTTTATTATTTTCAAAATAGTGTATATTTCATCTCAATTTATCTTGAAAATCGAGGGGTTAGATAATATTTTTTTTAATTGTTACATTGTTTACACATATTATTACCCATAATATTATATTGTTTACTCAGAATATTCCATTGTTTAAAATAACAATCAAATTCCCTAGAGAACAAGGTAAAAATCAAATTCACTGAAGATCTAGAACTTAAATCTTCGAATCATTGAGTCTTGGGGAAGATCAAATGTTGGATGCAAGGTTTGTCTCTTCGGATCTTGCATGCATTTGATTTTGAAGCAAAACAAAATAAGGGTTAGATAAATAAAATCAATATTCAAATATATGATTTTGTGCTCAAATAAATATTTAAGGAAACAACCTTAAACCCAAGTAGTTTTCTACTCTTGCAATCCATCTTAGAGAACTTTTTCAAAATTCTTTATGTTTTAACCGCTTCATGTTTCATTTAGGTTAGATTTTCAATATTCATGATGCTTTAAAAATGGATATCCCTTAGGTTTCACACGGATCACTAATGACAAGTTTTTGAGCGTTGATAAACATTAAATGGACGACAAAGATTTGTTCAAGGATGAATAGTAAAAAACGCTTAACTATCCCCCCGACCAAGAAGAAAACCAAGGTGGATATGCTATTTTTTAAATTACATTGTTTATACAGAATATTAAAAATACATTGTAAAATTTGTAGTAGCAACTCATGATAGAAATGGATGGTGGTGAATGTTTTCTCTCTTTAGGGTGGCTTCATATAATTTAGTATTAGGGTAAAATATGTTTAACGAGTTTTTTAAAAGTAAAATATGCTTACTAACCACCTCGATTTTACTATAAAATCGAGGTTTTATATTAACTATCACCTCGGTGATAAAAAACAACCGAGGTGACTATTTTGTTTTTAAAAATACATTGTTTACACAGAATATGAAAAAAAAAGCATTGTTTACAACAAATCTTTAGTGATATCCAAATTTTGTTTCATATCTACTAAAATAATTTTTTTTAAACAAGAATTATTTTATGCACTTGCAATCTATCAACTGAGTACACTTCAAAGGTTGAGCTAATTCCCTTCTTTGTTGATAAAACTTCATTCTTTATTTAACATGAAGCAAAAATTATTTTCTGAACTTGCAATCTACCAACTAAGCTCTTTTCAAAGGTTGAGCTTACTTCATTGTTGGTTAAGCTCATTTCTTTGGGCAACTTGAGGCAAGAAAGTTTTTCTGCACTTGCAATCTATCAACTGAGTACCCTTCTTTAAGTTAAGATTATTCCAAAAAAAATACAACAACAACAACACAAACACCATTATGTGAGATAGATTGTAAGGGAAGAAAAATGTTTTTTCAAGATAGAAGAACATTAAAGATTTTTTCTATCTTGCAATGCATCCAAAAGAATGATGCTTGCGAGTTTAAGGCAGTTTCATATAAGTAAGGATTAGGGTAAAATTTGTTCAACAAGTGCTTTTATAGTAAAATCTTATTATTTTATACCTCGGTTAAATAGAAAATCAAAGGGTTAGAACATTTTGTTTACACTTATAAACAAATAAAATCATAAACTGAGATAGCTGGGAATCGAAGTTTACACTGAGTTGTTTTTTCACCTCGGTTATTTTAAAAACCGATGATGTTTCTTTTTTAATAATAAAAAATAGTGTGCCTGACCTTTATACCTCAGTTTTTTTATTGTTCGAGGCGAAAACTTCGTCGTGAAAAGCCTTATTTATTGTAGTGCTTGCGATTGATTTTAATTAAGGGAAAAAGTTTTTAATTAATACGCTCATTAAGGATTCAAACCCTCGTGCCTATGTATTCTCATAGTACAATAAGAAAATCGGAGCTCCATAGTTCATGGGTAGAAAATAAGTATTTGTTGGTTGTTTTTAGGAAACAATTATAATCGTATCCAAGAAGTGTTTCGATGTTAGCTGATTCTAGTCCTTGCTTGGATGCTGTAAACTTTTAGTCTGACTGCTAAGGAACAAATTATAACAATTCTTTTATGAAAAGAAAGAAATTATTTGAATTGATTTGAAAAAGTTTATGAGTGGTAAAAGTGTTGTTTGGACCAAGATTGTGTTGTTTAAACCCATAAAAAGGTGTCTGAACCAGGAGTGTGGAGATTAACCAATAAATAGTGATTAGCCAATGCAGAGTTGTAGGGTTTTTTCTAGATCTAGGGATCAAGACCTATAAGAAAATGAGTTTTTCCTAAGCATGAAGCTTATAGGGAATGCATGAAACGAGTTTGCTTAAGCACATAGCTTACAGGGAATATATGAAATGAGTTTGCATAAGCACGGAACTTACAGGGCATGGATGAAATGAGTTTGCCTAAGCGTGTAACTTACAGTGTAGATATGCATGAAAAAGGGTTTGCCTAAGCACAGAGCTTACATGGCAGAAAAGGTTTGCCTAAGCACGACGCTTATAGGGCAGATATGCATGAAAAATGGTTTTAACCATGAGAAGGTGGTTAATTCAAAGAGAGGGATATGGTTCAAAGAAGGATGTTTAACATAGAGAAGATGATTAACCCAAAGAGAGGGATATGGTTTAGAGAATGATGTTTAACATAGAGAAGATGATTAACCCATGAAAGAGGTAACTAACCAAGAGAAGGTGATTAACATCAAGATTGTATGGTATCCAAAGATTATAATGTTTGGTCCAAAGAGAAAGATGTTGTTGATGAGGATCGTTGAAGTGTTGTTTGTGGGGAAGAAAGTTTGAAAGTTGTTTGATTTGTATTGCACAAAAGTCTATGAATGAATGCGAATACTTTGAGTAACTGGGGCCAACATCCCATATTCAAAGATATCCATAACAAGAGTAGGAATAATCTGTCTCATTCTTCTACATGTCTTAATGCTCATGTCATATAATTTACATCATAGTTAACAAATGTTTTGAAACGAAGTTTTTAGTTTTGAAAAGGGTGAGGCAAGGTGCTTGAATGGATGAAGCTTAGCATAATTAGACCTTGATGGCCTTCTATCTCCAAGATCTTAAATGTGAACCCAGACTTGAGATTGATTTGGTGGATCAAGTGAGTGCAAGTGTAAGAATTTAATTAAATCAAGTGATCAAGGGACTTATGATCACTTGAATGAATAGGTATCCTAAGGAGATCATGCAATTGTTCATGGAATCTGGTTATAGTTACTCTCACATTTTTTGGTAGGATGTCACAAATAGCCACTGATAGAAGTTGTTGCATTAAGACATGACAATCATGAGATTTTAAACCAATTAGTTTGAGATCTTTCATTGGTACAAGATTCTTGATGTTTGATGAGTAACCTTGGGAAACTTTGATACCATGCAAACGCTCGCAATAACTTTTCTTTTCTTTTTTACA